GTTGGCATACCATTGTTTTAAAACCCTTCTGTAGGGGCGAAATTTCATGCTTTGATCGGTCATGGTCAGTCAGAGTATTGTTGATAAATGTTTACAACGTTGAGAAGAACGCATAAGACCGATGGGCAATGATAGATAAAAAAGTTGTGTTTCTTTATTGTTTCTTTTTTATTGTTTCTTCTTCCCATACGTGTCCATTTACTTCAGATTGTTTTTTAAAGAATGCTCTTCAGAGATATCTCGTCATCATCTAAGGATTGTTTTGTTCCACAGAGATAATCTCCCGTTTGCGAAAATTCCTCTTCTGTGCAGCTTCTGAATTGAATATACAAATAGCTGTATCCGCTCACTAAGGTGTTCCAAGCGCACAGCTCTTGAGACCCGATGGCTGGCCAGCGGGCATCGCAATGCTGATAACCTACTGGACTCCAGGTTCTTGCTTTTCGTTCTGTAAATGTCATAGGGTATGCAATTAAATAAGATATCAAGTAATAAACTAGGGTATGCAAATATGGTATGTAAATAGGGTGCTAAATAATCGAATAGGGTAGCGCAATACCTTCGGAGAACCCCAGCACTTACTTCTACATATTGGAGACATTTAGGCGCAATCGTCTTTTTAAAAAAAAATCCCCGGCAACCTAGGGAGATGTCCATTGCAGGATTCCGCGTACCAGGCCTGGCTGTTCCCGGCTCTTGCTAATACCGACATATCACACCATATGCGAGGCTACTGGTGTGTTTGCTTTATGCGCCCAGTAGCGCATACCCAGCCGCACCTAGGGACGCATGTGAGCGCAGTAAAGTCGCACGCCGTCGTCTCAGTCGAAAGGACTTTTATGGTTCCATGTCGCTATGGCGCCCGGGTGTGAAGTGCCCAGTCACGTACCATTATAGTTACATCCGCCACGCGGTAGACCTCTGGCAGAAACACATGACTGTGCCGCTAATTCATCGGCGGTGGCAGGTCGGCGAACGGGCGCGGTTCTTTGCGCCAGATGTGTCCGCAAACCGGCAGCGGGTCATGTACTAGGCTGCTGTCGCCGCCATTTGGGCTACTGTGGCCATGCGTTAGCCTATTTTTATCGAAGTACTGCGATACACGCCAAGATTGCTAGATATGGTCATTAAAAAAATGAAATCTTAAACGGTCTATTCGTCCCTAGTCGAGGCGATGTGGAAAACATAGACGCTACGTAAGATATTACAATGTTTTCATAAATGTAAGTTGTTTCACGCATTTGCGAGGTACGTTATGCACATAGATAAGCCCATAGTACTAGCCTTGTTGCTAAGAGTGAACTTATAAATGCGTTGATACACCACTAGAATGAACTTATAAATGCGTTGATATTTCGGCAACATGCATTTATCGAAACGAAAAGCTGAAGTGAATTCAAAATTGCCGAAGACAATTGCCAAAGGCAATTTTAAATTTACTTTTGCTATTCGTTTTGATAAAGGCATGTTGCCGAACTATCACCGCATCTATATCTCTGTTCTCCTGGGTTTTCTCCGAGGAATGAGACTATTGCTATGAGATTATCTATGTTTTCATAAATACGAAGCGCGGGTTGGTATAGGTGAGATGCAATGCTTATCCGCGTGCAAAGTTACGACGAGCTCAAATATTTTGTGCTGAGTTAACTGCTGAACACTTGGGAAACTCTGGCGGGATATTCAGAGCCTCTTTGGTATGGCTGGTCTAATCAACACTAAAGCAGTGACACACTTCCCCGGCTTCAGATTGATGGTAACGTCTCGCATGCTGACGACCACCGCGTTCCTGGTCGCCAGCACGACTCTGGACGACATCCAGTGCGTGTCGACATGCCGAGCGGCGAGGTCTGGAAACACCCAGCCGATGACGGACGGCGTGTGCGTCCTTCGTCGCGTGGTTTGGCAGCCCGATGGTGCTGCCCTCGACCGTGGGCTGCCATCCAGCTGCAGCAGCCAGGCGTAAACCAGTCCGCTTCGTCGTGCGGCTAATCCCCCTGGACCGGTGGAGTGGGCGCGCGTGCCGTCGTGCGGAGACAGGACGACACGGTGACGCGCCAGCGGCGACCAGCCGAGGCAGAGTTCGACCAACCCCGGCATTACTGCATTCTGGGTAGACAACGCTGTGACAGTATCATGGGACTAAATCATATGGCACCAGTGCTACGGCGGCGTGAAAACGCCGCTCTGCAGGCTGGTTTAAACATATGTATTTCCATAAACCGGACTTGTTTTCGATCTAGTACATTCAATGAAGCGTTTTCGGCTGACATATGGCGTTAGTTTGCACCAGAGCTGCAAAATTGTTGTTGAAATCCGCTCCCATTCTACCCCCGACAGAAAGATGGGGTACCCCATTAACTAGTGATCTTTTCCGAAGAACTGTAGCCGGAGGCGCTTAGCAACAGGCTGTGTAAAACAGTACAAAATACCCTCCAACAAAACAGAGTATCCATAAAACTTGCGTTTATGGGGTACAACATACAACACATACAACAGCATAACATACATGAGTAGCCTCGCAGTTTGTGTTTATGGGATGGAGGTTGGTGGGGCGCACCAAGGACTTTCCTGATCAGGATAGGAGGGGGGGGGGGATATAAACGGCGAAAACCCCTCCCTCTGAAAAACAAGTGTCCGCACTTATGATACTTCCAATTCACTTAAAAAGGTCGCTCTAAATTTCTAACCAGATGCTATATTTATCTACCTTGGCAAGGTCACTGTAAAATGGGATGAGGAAGGGTGGGCCACACGGGCCCGCAGCACTCTTGGATGCGCATTGAGGAGTTGGAATGTGCATCCTGTAGCCTTAGAAGGGGCGCCGCCAGGTTGGATGTAGAGTTGGGCTGCCCTAAGGGGAGTAGTGAGTGGTGAACTCCGTGAGGCGCAAATGCAGTGCGTGTCATTTCAGTCCACGATAGCAGATTTTGCTGCAAAATGGGTCGATTTCTGGCAAGTTTTGCCATTTCTGCCTGCCAAGGAGCAATGGTCCGTATCCTCGCTCGGAAATAGTCTTGGGAATAGATCAGGGTGATCAAGGTATTATTCCCTGCGCACTTTTTTCACCTGCCCTTTCGGACATCATGGATATGTCTAAGATCATAGATCATGTCCTGCCCACGTCTAAGATCATAGTACAGCAGCAGCGAAATTCTTGGCACCTGCCCTCCTCACGTTATATCAATATTCAGGTGCGTTGGCTGTGGCAAATGTGGTGCTAGAAACTGGGGTTTCGTGGGACGTATTATTCTAGGTACATCGTGGTATTGATCTGTCTTTTGAAGGCCTGAGATGCATAGTGTCCCATGTTTGCTCACGCAAAATCAAATCAAGATGTGAAACAGGCTTACCACCCAATTCATTGCCGAAATTTCAGGGTTTTTTGCTGTTGTCATTTTACTAGCATCTACTAACGTTGTTGTAGCATCAACCAAAAACCATACCACGGGCTACCGAGTTGGTGCCGTCACGTCTGCGTAGCCTTGTACTCTAGTAGCCTTGACTTCGACGATCTGCGCACGCGAGCCGTGCTTGATCACAGGCAGGATCTAACGCGAGTCCCCGCCCAGTACCAGCACCATTCCACCGAACGGCTGGTTCAACTGCTGGTTGCGGCTGAGGGCCTCCAGCAAGGTGGCGGGCGATCAGCACCTCGTCCTCCACGTTTAGCCGGGCTTGGCGTTTTGGCTCGGCCGGGGAGCTCGGGGCTGAGATGAAAGCATGAGCGTCCATTTACAGTAAGCATCAACTTGGAATCCTGCGATGCGTACACTATTTGACGGTTGGGTCAGAATGCGTGCGTGCTACGCAGATATTTCTGCCTGCTTCTAGAACAGCCACCAAGGTGGCTGGTGACTCAAGGTGAAGTGAACTGCCACAGGCTTTATGCAGCTGATAGATTGATTCCGCATAGTCAGCGTTGCTATTGGTGGATTTGCCTGGTTTCGGAATGTTTTTTTTTTTGTCCCCAATATCTGGGCCGGATGAAAAGGGACCAAAATTGAATGACCGGTACCAGACGGTAGATGGTAGAGCTTTCACGTTTGGACTGGCTAGGCAGTTTATCCTGTGCATTCCCTAGGACGATTGGATGCAAAACTAGACGACGGGAGCAAGCTGTTCATGCATCAATCTTCACAACGAGTGTTAAAATTTAGCACGCGCCCGGGTGCCGGTTGGATGGTTTCTACTCGCGTGGGAGTCAATTTGAATACCCCTGAGATCCCAGGAACTAGGAGAGCTAGAGACACCAAATTTATAGGGTGTGTTGGCCTGTAGGTGAACTCAATTTGTTCAAGGTTTGAGCTTCCTAAGTCATGACCTTCGGGTTAAATGAATTCAAACAAGGTCAAACCCTAGGTTGGTGTCCAAAGTGTCCATAGGACCTGCGTACCCGTTCTAAGCAAAAGGTCTTATGCTCATTTAAGGTCATCGATCTTGTTTGACTTTGCGGAGGTCATGGTGACCAAATTCATACAAGACTGTTTTGAGTTTTGAATTTGAATAAGCGACAGTCGGCAGAATGTTCCTAAGAATATAATGTTGACTTGGGTCATTTTAGGGCAGCGATCTATTCTAACCTTAAACAGGTTGCACGTTCGTTGTTGGTTTGTTATGCGCCGTTAGCTACGCAAGGTAGTCAATAGTTTTGTTCCGCCTATTTTAATGCCACAGCGTAGGCGTAGTTGCGGTAGACAAAGCCTTTTCCAGCCTCCCATCGTTAAAACTTTGCTCGCCAACTATGTCGAGACGAAACTCCAGGATAGCTGTTCCGCATCCTCGTATTCAGCGCAGGCAGGTTCATTGGACCTTTGAATGTGATGGATGACAGGCGCGGGGACCAGCAGTCTCCTCTCTCGCGTGGGGCCATTCCCTTCCGCCCGCCTCCGATGCGAGTAGACGACAAAAACTCACCTTGTCCCGCCCTCTAGCGGGCTCAAGGCCTGGACGCTCCGATGCGGTCCCAAGACGCGCAAGGTCACCGTCTCCGCGGTGGAAGGCGCCTCGGTATCAGTGCGTGGCAGCCCGGGACCGGCGCGAGGCCGGCGACCAGTCAGGCGAGCCCAGCAGACGGAGCAGTGGCAGGCGAAGTGAGCGGTGCCCTCTGGTGAGTTTGTCTTCGTGGAGCCACGCAAAGCAGGAGCTGTGATTGAGGTTTTTAATTGGTTTGGCACTAGTGCTTGGTGCCTGCGTAATGGGAATGACATCCTTTTCGCGACTGATTCATTTAAGCTCGCGTGAGCAATAGAGCTATCTGCGTTTATCATGAACGCGAACATGAAATATATGCATGAACCAAGAGCAGCCTGTCCATAATGCCGCGACCGCTGTCCGTAGCGTGTATGACCGTAAGCACAGACAACATCCTGTAATGCATTCATTATGTTAGGACCAAGCTTAGCGATTAGGTGAGGTGCATTATCGACGAAGAACTAAGTCAGCCGTTTGTGATGTGCGGTAGACGATGTAGTTTGTTGTGCACCACTTATGCCTCAGGTTTTGTGGATAGCTGGTTTCAGGGTCGCCAGATGAAACGGGAAAGTGTTGCCCAATAGGCGAGCGTGTGACATTCCGCGGAGGTCTGCGGAGCTGTCTGAGGTCATGTGGGTGTCCGGCGAGTTTTCGCGGGAGAGTTCGCACTGGTTGGCGTTGGAGGTGGCACGTTGTCGATAGAAGGCCCGCGGCAGAAGAATATCGAAGTTTCTCTTCTCGGAAGGGAAACGCAGGACGGCAGCTACCAAATTAACGAAGCGTTACAATTATTCGTAACTCGTTTCGAGCGTTTGCACGGGTGAAATTCGAGTCGGGAAAACATTCGTAGCAGAGATCACTGACTGCACCTAGAAACTACCACCCATGGGACAAGCTCACTCGTGACATATAACAAGCTCACCCATACTCAAGCTCACTAAATACTGTTACATCCTGCCTTTGTACTCGACAGGGTCGAAAATTATTTTTGATGCCATGCAGACCATGCTACGGTCACCATGCGCCAGTTTTATATTTTGTTGCCTGTTGGTTTGGCCAAATTACCGCAACGCAAACAAACAGAGGGCCCGAACCCGTTCAGGGGAGTCCGGATCGGACAAATAATTGCGGAACGCCACATTACGGACCAAATTTCTTAAAGAACATTTCTCAAAATTTGAATACATCAGGTCGTGAGCTCTACTCTTATGCGAGTTTCTTCAACTGTCTAACTGACGTCCATTTGACGTGGAAAAGGTGGCAGTAGTACACCAGTGGAAATAATGGCCGGCTGCCTGTTTTCATGACATGTACGTATTTTTGCACCAGCTCACCCAACTTTAAAGCATAAATTCGGTTAACTTTGGAGGGCAGCGGCCTGTGGCCTGTTAGTTATGGCCTTGGACTTGGCATCGCGAGTGCTAGGGTTCAAGTCCCGCCGCTGGAGGCTTACGTCATCTTTGATATCCACTGCGGTGTGGCGACGATGCTGTCGACGATGGTGCTGATGCTGATGCTGATGTTCATGATGATGATCGTTGTAATTATGAATATGATAATTATGTCGATGATGCTAATGGTGATTACGATGATAATTATGATGATGGGGATAGTGGTGATGATGATTAGTATGATTTCTTTCGGTTATTATTATTATTACAAAGACGACGATTATGATGCGTGTCGAATTAAGCTTAATGAGAGGTAAATGCGTTACAGGCAGGATTTAAGACCCGTAAGCGTGCAAACTGCCCAGGGAATGTGCAAACTAACGGATAAACCAGGTAGCGTGCAAAATCTCAAAGGAATTTGCAAACTCCCTGGGTGGTACGAGAATTTGCGAACACACTGTGGGTTTGCAGGCTCCCCAGGTAATTTGCCAAATTTCGAGGGTATTTTCAAAAAGGAATTATATTCCACATGATAGTGAATGGCTTTAAACCCTGGGGCATTTAAGGGAGGGGCAGTTAGTACATGGTCAGCTTAAAGTTTTTACATGCATTGATGCCTACGTGAGTACGGACCAAGAACGGACCAAGGAATACGGAGCGTGTGAGTACGGACCAAGGAGTACGGGGCGAGACAGTTTTGAGTAGACCAGTGAATATACATACTGTGGTAAAATGCACTGTACGAAAGTTCTTTCGCCTGCTGCACAATATGTTAACTGGGGATTTCGGGTTGAGTGCCGACGGAACGAAATGTGAAAAGATAAGACGCATTGAGACAAAATAAAGCGCTTACTGCTATTACTTTCGCATCGCATTTCAATCTGTACATCTTTCATTCCTTTGACTATCACCTCAAAATGAACACATTAGGCCCGTTCCTCTCACTAGTTTCTTTTGAGCAACTCCGTGACATGGCGGCGAACTCTCCGCTGACGAGGTGGAGACGTTTCGCTAAGATCAGCTGAAAACCAGGACGAGATGCCGACTAGTTCATTGGAACACTGCTGACTGAACACTGCTTATCACCGGCCTGTCACCTGCCGCCTTAGCTCGAAAAAGTGACCTCAGGTCACGGCGTGGATCAGCATCGAGGATCTTTCATCCTGGCTTTAGTCCAACATTGCGATCGTGCTGTATGTTTGACAAGGACATGATGTAATGAATCCGTGAATAGCAAATGCGACGAAAAATAACCGTCCTTAATCACACACATTTAACTTTATTCTGGCCATTTGTCAGCAGCCAGGAAAAATGACCTACGTTTTTTTCGTTCACAATGGACAGAACAATGCGGCTTTGTATTGAGGTGCCGGGTGATCTTCCACAATCCTGCGGCGACGGAAAAAGTCAGCCAGGCTTCTTTCAGACGAATGAGATCTGGATATACTGCCCCTGTCATGGCTCCAAAACAAAACAAAAAACGCATTCTTCTAGGCTTACGCCTTGTAGTCTTCAACGACTGCAGGTCAGGTGCTGTTAATGCACCTGAAAACCTGTGCCACAACTCATAAACTGCGTGCTATTGTGGCTCGTAGCAACGAGAAGAGGCATAATATTAAATATTACTGTTCCTTCCGCGTTTATAACTTCTCCATTTATAATTACATGTTAGAGTGATGGTCCAAGGGGAGTATTGATTCCTGCTGGGTCTTTTCAAAATGCGTGTAATGATCAGATGGACTGCACGCTTGGTTTTCACGTACACCTCCGAATGACCGATGGATGCGCACAATGCATGGGGTCGATCTCACGTCTCGACCTTTGGTGTGTGTCATTGTGGACCAAAATGAATATTTTCAAGCACGGAGAAGGATTCTTGTGTGTTTTTAGGTAAACAGATTCGGTAGCGGTAGTCAAAGGCGTAGCTGTTTTGCATCCGATGCAGATGCAAGATGCTATACCATTAAAACATATTTGCATCAACGAGGACCACAAGAAAACAGTCGAAAAAGTTTAGCAAATTTCCCAGTAATTTTGCAAGCTCACTTAGGAAGTTTGCAAATTCCCTAGACACCTAAGGAGTTCACAAGCTCTTCATGGACTTCGCAAACTACCTGGCTTATCAGGCAGTTTGCAAACTCCCGGGTTTTTCATTCTGCCTGTGACGTATATAAAACATACGTCGTGTCAAGGAAATGACCAATTTCGGCCTGTATTACGATAGCAAATGGACACATCCGAGTACAAGCCGACTTCACCCATATTGATGCACAAATCCCAAATCACTAATATGTCTGGTGGCATCAATCAAATAAGGGCTTCGCTTGCGCAAAGGGAACTAGATTCTGAGTGCAGGACCCAATCTATCTGTTTGGAAACCCAGTTAGGGTCTGTAAAAAGTGTCACACTATCACACAGGGTGTTGCAATGTTCTGTTTTCTAGTTATTAGTTGCTAACTTCTGATAAGATATCAACGGCAAAATCCTTAGGGACCCGGGTTTTTTTGGTATGTCTTTTAATGTCGAAAGCAACTGATGTTCAATATGCCGGGAGGGAGTGCGTAAATGAAGGTAACAACAGCCATCGAGAGACATTTTGAATATACTTGTCTTTTACAGAACAGTTATGGTCGTGATTATGACTCGTTTCCAGTGGTGCTCAATGCCATGACTCGTGTCCGTGGACACTGCTGGAAATTTCTAATGCTTTCATGATATTTTCCAACGATAAATTTCTAATGCTTTCATGATATTTTGCCGCATCCGTGGTCTTGGGGAAAGATGCTGGACTCGTAATCCAGCGGCACTGGGTACGAGTCCCAGAGTGGGCGCATTGTTTGACCCGACTGAAAAGGAAAGGCCAGCTGGCAACTGGCCAGCGAGGTTCAACCCAGACCCGAGGCGGCCGTGTTGCAGCATTGTGCGGCACGTAAAACCCTTCGCATCCCTGTCTGGCGAAAGGGCGGAGGCAAAATTAGCCGTTGAACTGGACGGCACGCTTGGGTGGTGGGTTCGGGGTACACGCAACAAGCTATGCTTAGCAGGTACTCTGAATCCGAAGTCACCCTTACAAACCATTCGGAATAAATTTATAAAAAACGGATAATTGATATACGTGGTTAATCAAGACATATGGACCATTGAAACCTGGATGTTTTCGCCATCGGAACCGAGTGTGCCTCCTTGTCTCAGATGTTTCACCAGATGTCCCTGCAGATGTCTCACCAGGCCCCTATGTCACAGACAGCCGGGAGCAGCATGGCAGATGGATCCCAGAAGATGTGGGGCTCACGCCCGTTTTGGGGCGTTGGGTCCGAGTTTGACCCTTCATGGACGCTGACCGACCGGCAGAAGAAGCTCGAGGCGGACCTCATCGAGCTCTGCCGCAAGAAGATACGACCTCACGCGGTGCGTGCTCGCCTTGAAATAGATCAGACCTTCCTCTTGAAAGACACACAGTTATGTAATACAGTACAGCACATATTTCTGCTAAATCACACATTACACACTACATTCATCATCGTCATCATCACCACGCATTGCAGAATCACAGTCTACTGTAGTTGCGCTGGTGGAGTGATCCGTGATATCGCCGGTCCGGTACTGTTCTGCTGTCATGGAGCGAGAACAGCACGCACGTGCTGTTCTCTTATTATGCTATGTTTGACTGATGTAAGTAATGCCTTCAGCGTCGAGTGCTGTCGATATAACCGATATATCATCTGTAACGTCATCTACACAGTACCTCTTGAAATACTGAATGCCGATAACCTAGCATAAGAACTTTGAACTGATGAGTGCATTCTGCGTGATATTTGTGGGCGCCAGCCTTTTAACCGGCCGTTTTATATCTGCCTGGCAAGGGGCTTAGAAAAGCCATGCTGTGTGGAGATGCCCCATGATATGCATGAATATAATGACGACTCTGATGAAGTGGCTATCGGCTGTCTCATAACTTTTGACGAATGCTGAACAGCAAAGGTGTGTTTCGGTTGGCTACGTGGTAACAGTGCGCTGCTTTGGTGCAGATCCACTGTGACAAAACCTACACCTTCCCACGGGAGTCGATGAACGCCCTGGCCGACATGGGGCTGCTGGGTGTGATTGTCCCGAAAGAGCTGGGCGGACTCGGAGAGAGTCACGTGTGCGCCGCCATGGTGGTCGAGACTCTGGCCCGCTACGGCTGCCCCAGCACCGCCATGGTCTACAGTGAGTAATGTCGGTAGCACCGCGATGGTCTACTGTGAGTAATGTCGGTAGCACCGCCATGATCTACAGTGAGTAATGTCGGTAGCACCGCGATGGTCTACTGTGAGTAATGTCGGTAGCACCGCCATGATCTACAGTGAGTAATGTCGGTAGCACCGCCATGACCTACAGTGAATGCTGTCCTTCAGAATCAGCATGGTCTCAACCGCCGCTGTTTCGATCGAGCACTGTTGTCCACAACGTCATGGTCTACAGCAGATAACCCCACCAGCGCCGTCATAGTCTACAGTAATTTGTGTCAGTAGCACCGCCATGGTCTTCAGTAAGCACTGTCGCCTACACTGCGATAGTCTACACTGGTGATCATTGCCAGCATCGCCGTGGCCTGCGGCCGGTGTCGCCGTCAGTTACCTACCACGCCTGCTTTAGCTGTCCCAGTACAGCTACGGCATAGACCCAATGGCTCTTTTACCTTATTGTTGGCCTCACCCACGGCCATTCCCGGCCGTTGCGGTGCCGACATGAGTTAAACAACGGCGTGACTTGTTGAGAAGTGCGGCATTCCAAGCGTTCCCACGAGGCGAAAGGCTGACGTGGATTGTTCGTCTGCAGCCATGCACGTGGCGGCGCTGTCTGCCCTGCTGTTCCGCTACCACAACAACGCCACAATCCAGGACCTGCTGCGCCGCCTGGACAAGGAGAGGCTGGTGGGCACGGTATCCTACAGCGACCCAGCCACTGGTGAGTGGTGTACTTCAGGCATGTACGCGCTGGGGTTTGGCTCGAAGGCACTGGACTCGGGGGAAGGCACATATCTTGCACTGCCGTTATGGAGTGTTAAGATATTTTCTCCCAGAAGGGCAGCCGTTGCGCCGCCGTTATGGAGTGTTAAGGTACTGTCTCCCAGGTATTTCCTCCCTTCTTTCTCTGATGTTTTTCCTGATTTTGTGGGATTCTATTTTTCAATTATTATGCTGTGTATTCTGCCTGCTTTCTCCCATGATGCTCTCGACATCATCTCCTATCACTTTTTTGACCCACCATTCATACATTTGCCTGCCTTTTTCCGCGCCCTCTTGACCTTCTGAGTCATCTCCCCGACCTTAGTATGTATTTTTCCTATCCTGTCAGATCGTTACATTCCCGGATGCCTACATCTGGATTTACCCCTGTGCCTTCATCATATCCCGACGTGTCCGTTTTCCCCATCTCCCGAGTATTCTTGCCTTTCTGCTACGCCGTCTGCGTGGCTTTTTGTGGTGGCTTCTTCCTGATGTAATCGCATTCCTTCTCGCTTGCCTTAAGCCTGACATTTTTCCTGGCCTTCGCATGATGATTTTTACTGACCCTTTCCTATCGCTTCTTTTGAGCATTTGCACGTGCTTTTCCCTGGCCCTTATCCTTGCCTACTGCCCGTCGTATTCCCGTATACCAAGCAGCCATTTCGGTTGCCGAAACCATTCAACTGCCTCCAGCGGCTGTCTCTTGCGGTACCCAACCTCAGTCTGCGTCTCTGATGACCATTCCCCACTACTGTCCAGCAGTCATTATCCGGATCTTCCCTCACTGTCTATCACCTGTTGTGTCTTAGGCTGCCATAATTGGTTCCCGCTATCGTCCAGCAGTCATATTTGGTTCCCGCTGTCGTCCAACAGTCATTATCCGGACATCCCCCCCCCCCCCACACACACACTATCTATCACCTACTGTGTCTTGGCGGCTATATTTGGTTCCTGCTGTCGTCCAACAGTCATTATCCGGACATTCCACTCACTATCTATCACCTGTCGTGTCTTAGGCGGCCATAGTCAGTTCCCGCTGTCGTCCAACAGTCATTATCCGGATCTTCACCTCACTGTCTATCACCTGTTGTGTCTCAGGCGGCCATATTTGGTTCCCGCTGTCGTCCAAGTGTCGTCAGTTGGACGCTGAGCACGTGAAGATGCTCAAGTACGGCTCGTGGTCCACCTCGGCTGGGTTTGCTGACTGGTACGCCATCCAGACAGTCAGCCCCGGTGCCAAGCCCGGCAACTTCGCAGACCTCACCAACTTCCTGGTCTTTAAGGTGGGCGAGAGTAACCATGGCAACGCATAACGGTGCCTCACTTTGTTGACGGGCTAGCCAGTTAGCCACTTCTTGAAACTGTACTGAACCCCAGTATTCAGCAATATAGTGTTACAGTGTTTAGACCACAATGAAACTGCGTTGCGATCTCGCTTTTATGTTTGTTTTTTATATTCTGTTATGTTTTCGCATGTTTTTACACTTCCTACAAACTATTTGGAATCCCACTTGTAATTAGCCGCGTCATGTGTTGTAGACTCGTGTGTGTCGTAGACGCGGTTTTGTTTTCTACAATTGCACGATTTAGAGCAGGTTAACATTTCCACGTGATCAAAAGGGAACTGTGTTTCGCCAAACTTTATGTTTGCCCATTTATAAAAATGCGGAGCAGTCCCTTCAATCCTTCTAGCCCATTGTCTGCCCCCATGCGCAGTCGTGTAGGAGATGCGTCATCACGTGAACATTGTTACACCTCCTGTTGCAGGACGAAGTTCGAGCGAATTCACACGACTGGCTTTCCCTGGGCATGCACGGTAACCAGTCAGGACCGGTGATATGTGAAGGCGTCCTGACCGTTGATAGAATGATTGGCCCTATAGGTAAGTCACGTGCTTAGTGGAAGAAGAGGCGCATTAGTGCTTGGTAATTAGCAGAGGTACATGGGGTAGCCACAACAAATAGATTTTGGCCGGTAGAATAGTGCGGAATGCAAGAAAGTAGAGTCTGGCATGCCCGTTAGCCCAAATAGTGTCCTCATTGGCGAATGTTTGTAATGACATAATGGCCCACTTTACATAGGCTAGAGGAGTAAAGTTTCCACGGGCGTGCTATTTCATGGGGAATTTACTTCGGTTGTCATGCTGTTGTATATACATATGTTGATAAAATGTTAAGACGTTGACAATTTACTACTACGGGTCCCGATGTCCATTGGGCGCGACGCGACTGGTCTGACATTCCGTGAACTTTTTACATGAAGGCAGCACTACACCAGGCCTTTACGAGACGTTTGTCATCAGCAACATGGCCGAAAGCCTTGAGTCCGCGAGATCTCACGCTCTCTGGACGACACAGGCGATGGCTTCCGCTCCAGCCAAGAGCTCGTCACATTCTTCCTGCTCCTGACTTCGGCCTGCTGGAACGGCATCTCCATGGCCTGCATCGACCTGGTGAAGAAGCACGTCACCAGGAAGACGCACGGCGACGTAGGCATGCGCGTGTGCGACTATCCGACCATCCAGGTCAGTGTTGGGGTGCTAGTAGATGTCGAGGAGGCCCCTTTCCCCTGTTAAGGGCTGGAGTCTACCTGTGGAAAGCACATAAATGGCAAGTGCACTGTGCCTGCCAAGGACCGTTATCGACGGGAGGTTTTAACAAGGACGATATGGTGGTTCTTATGTAGCGATTTTTCCCATTTTCACAGGATTGACCCTGCACGTTGTGGTGTTCCGTATGCAAACAAACATTGCAAAGCTTGGGAGCGATGTAATATTAAGAATTGCTTTCTTGCGGCTGTAGTTAGTCATGTCACTTGGGCTGTATTAAGCATGGGCCTAATATTTTTTTTTAAATATGGGGCTAATGCCTCAAATTGCAGTGTTTGGAATGACACCATTTTATGAAAAATAGGTTCCACAGTTCAGTGAAATTGCTTTTAAAAAAACGCATGGCATTTACGAGAAAAAAACGCCGAATTTCAGTGTCGTGGTGAAGCACAATGCGAGTTTGAGATACTCATAACAAGTTTTCGCAGAAGCTTCTATCTCAGCCTCTTCGGGTGTCATTCAACCATTTGCTTTTTCACAGATGCGTGACAATCTCGTTTATGGTTAGTGTTGGTGCAAGAGACGGGAAGGTCAGGAGAAGGTGATACAATGCGTATCGCACCAATTTACCTACGCATTAAAGAAACGGGAGACCAATGAGCGCGAACTGTCGCCATTTTATGTGCTTAAAAACTTCCTTCCATAATTTTCGGAACCAAACACGTAGACTTCATTGATAAGCAGTCGCTGAAACATATCTCGACAAGTGGAATGCAAAACCCGACGGTCAAAAGATGAGCTATCATAGTGATTGGTTATTGCTGCAACATTAAGTAGGCTAGCAGCACTAAAAGCGCTCCACGCGGTCTCTTCGATGATGTAGTCGCGCAGCATTTGCTGCCTGTGCTCTTCCACCTGGTCTCTGAGTTTGACCGGGGTTCGGCGAGGACGCTGTCGGATTGGAGCTGCGCCTGCTGCCGCGATCTGGCGCGCCACCAGCTGTGTCTCGGGTTCGGCGAGGCCGCTGTCGGATTGGAGCTGCGCCTGCTGCCGCGATCTGGCGCGCCACCAGCTGTGTCTCGGGTTCGGCGAGGCCGCTGTCGGATTGGAGCTGCGCCTGCTGCCGCGATCTGACGCGCCACCAACTGTGTCCTCCCGTTGTCCTCGGAATGCGGACCGAATATGCCGCGGTATTGAGAGATTAAGCCCTTCAGGTTAGTTCACCCCTTTGGGCTCATTTCGCAGAGCTCCTAGTCCAAGCCTGGAAATGGATGAACTGTGATTTTGCTCGCGTTTTGTGGCGCTGTGAGCGTCTGTCTTTTGCAGACTGCGGCTACTAAGCTAGCAGCACAGGGGGGCTCCGCATTCCCGCAAACGTTGTCTTCGCGCCCTTCCCTCACGACATAGAATGTTGCAACACCCGATCCCTTCAAGATCCGGAACTCGTCTGAGCCGATTTTTGTCAGTCTGATTGTCAGCGTGCACTACTCGTCGACGGTCGACATCGAAGGTTTATTTGTGAGGAACGGAATGTGTTGTTTCATGTTATATTACGACAAATTGTCATATGTTAAGCTACGGAAAATTCTACACCGCAAAACATCCGTGACCGACCTCAGCTGCTTTGGGGTGGTCATAAATGTAAGTTAATCGTTTCCAAACTTCGCATTGTATGTTCGCACATCTAGCTCTTAATTCGCGCCAGCAGCGCTACCGAAAATTGGAAAATCGCAACGTAAAAATCCCCCGATTTGGCGTACTTTTCTGATGGTTGATTGGTAACGGAACTGATGTTTGATTCTTAAGATTATTTGTGAGCGTGCAGTGACTTTTTGCATGAAGGGGAGTATCACCTGCATCACGCAGGGCTTATCACCTGTCTAATTTCGCTCGCCGTGAATACCACTAGCAATCGGAAGGAATCGCGTCATGTCGCGGTGTACCCTGTCTTGTTGCCTTATGTGCCAGTGATGGACCCCACGGTTGTTGACCGAGAGCTTCTCATTTCTTACTAGAGCTGCTCATTGCTGGCCGACAGCGTCACGCTGCTTACCAATAGCGATTCATTCCTGACCGAGAATGGCTCATTGCTGACTGAGAGCGACTCATTGCTGGCCGAGGGCGGCGCATTGCTGACCGAAAACGGTACATTGCTGACCGAGAGCATCACATTGTTGACCGAGAACAGCACACTGCTGACCAAGAGCGGTACATTGCTGACCGAGAGCGGCTCATTGCTGACCGAGAGCGGCACACTGCTTGTCGAGAACTGCTCATTGCTGACCGAGAGCAGCACATTACTAATCGAAAGCGGCTCAATGCTGACCGAGTGCGGCACATTGCAGGACTACTTCGGCCAGTGTGTGTGCGAAACCAGCGCCATTCGCCTAATGTGCGCGTCATTGGCCACGAGTCTCGACCAAGTGACAGACAACAACAGCTGGGACAAGCACACGGACCTCGACTACATGCCGAGGTCAGTGGATCGGTGGTTAGTTAGTCGGTGGATCCGTGGTCAGTTAGCCGGTGGTGCATAGTGGTTAGTTAGTTGGTGGTGGGCCGGTTGGTCAGTTGGCCGGTGTGGGGGGTGGTGGTTAGTTAGCCGGCGGATTGGTGGTTAGTTAGCCGGTGGCAGACCAGTGTTATTTAGCCGGTGGTGGGCCGGTGTAGTTAGCCGGTGATGGGCCAGTGTTAGTTAGCCGGTGGTGGGCCAGTGGGTAGCTAGCCAGTGCTGGGCGAGTAGTTGGTTACCTGGTGGATCGGTGTTTAGTTAGTCGGTGGATCGGTGGTAAAGTCGGCGGTGGGCCGGTGGCTGGTTAGCTGGTGGTGGGCCAGTAGTTAGCCGGTGGATCGGTGGTTAGTTAGCCGGCGGATTGGTGGTTAATTTGCCGGTGGGCCGGTGTTAGCCGGTGGTGGGCTGGTGGCTAGTTACCCAGTGGTGGGCCAGTAGTTAGTTAGCCGATGGATCGGTGGTTAGTTAGCCGGTGAATCGGTGCCAAGTCAGCCGGCGGTGGGCCGGTGGCTTGTTAGCTGGTGGTGAGCCAGTAGTTAGTTAGCCGGCGGATCGGTGGTCAGCTAGCTGGTGGATCGGTGGTTAGTTAGCCGGTGGTGGGCCGGTGGTTAGGTGGCTGCAGCTTCGGGGTGTCCATAGTGGTGCAATCGGTGGTAGTGACAAAACAACCCCGTCGAAGTCAGGGCTGAAAAGGCCGGGCCGCTGCGGCTACACACTTAAGTTTGGCTTACGTTACGACCTGCTCGGCGTGCGGCCTCCGCGGTGCTGACCAGGCCCGTAATGAACAATAGGTGCACGGTTGTGAGTTTCGAGCAATGCGTGCTGTAAACACAACCGCGTTACAGTGAGGGCTACAAAACAAAATACGGAAAGGCAGGACTCAGATCCAGGTCTCCTCATGTTACAGGCTTGTTTGAGACTCGTGATGATAGCCGTACATCGCTTGCGTTCAAATTGCTGATATGTGTGAAGCGGAACGCGGACTGCATAATTCGTGAAGTTTGCGTGCCTGCTGCTTCTTGTGATTGCCCAACGGTGACTTGTAACCGCAAAATCGCAAAGTAACTGTATTTGAAAACCCTGCGTTCCATGGATATTACCGGTATTGTTGTGCCTGAAATTTGTACTGAGTTGTTTCAAATTCCCCAGATTATCTTTCTTGTATATTACTAAAGGAACAGTGTGTGTGTGTCCGCCATTTGAGTTAGACCATCTGCAGGCTAAACGGTCGGGAATTTTTCCGTGAAATTTGCACAGGACCAAGGCTCGGTTGCGGCGCGTGACAGAGTCGCGTCAAAATTCTACATTTCGTAAAAATGAGCGCGTGCTGAGCGAAACACGAGCGCAAAAACCCCGTAAGTTTAACACGGGCGACGCCGATTTAGCGATTCCGGCCGACGGCCCGACACGCTTCGCTTTCTGGAGCCGTATCTTGATAACTAAGGGTCGCAGCGACATGCAACTTGCGCAGTGCGATAGGACACGGAATGGGCCATCGTAATCTGATATTTTTCCCTCCACGTGACTCGTGACACGTGCACACGTGTTGACAAGATGAAATCGGCCGTTTCTGAAAAATTTGAACCTAGCGTTGAAAACTACACCAGCGTGTCGGTCGATTCGTCCTGTCTCTGATGCACTCTTGTTGACCGCATCTATAATAAAAAAATGCCGCTCGCACATGGACCTAGACTAAGGGGCTGCATGACGGCATTTCCACCGCGACGGCGTCATTTAGCGGCATAACACGGCATTTCCACCGCAAGTTACTGCCCGACTCCCGGCGTACGACCTAGGCGTTAAGGGTCAAAATGGCCCTTCGCGCCTCGGGCTTTCGACTTTGTTCATTTAGCCACGCTTCATATTAAACGAGCACTCGGGCCGTGTTTTCAGTCTGTCCGGCAATGGACCGGAGGGCGGGTCGCCAACGGGGGCGATCTCTGCCTAGGCGGGGCGGCCGGCGGCGCGCTGTGCCTTGCGGGCGCTGTGCGCGCACAGGCGTGGTTTTTGTTTCCCAACATTTACAATAGACGCGGATACACTTTCAGGCGCATCGCGAGTTTCTGCAACGCACCGTTGCGTTGCAAATTGCACAACAACTTACTAGATGCCAAGTTTTAATATTCGAAAGGTACGGTGACACGTATGATACGGTATGGGATCATAGATGGATTTTGCTCTCTTCCACGGATTTGCACCTTTTGAGCCAAACTTCGGCACCTATGGCACTAACACACCCGGGATTGGCGCGCTTGAATGATGAATGGAAGGAACGAGATGACAATGTTTGGTGACGCGTGCTACATTTCAGGGCGCCCATGTATTTAACTATGGATTTACACAATTTTGGTCTTTCGAGGGGCTCGCACGTTTTCATAATATCTCACAAACCAGGGAATAAAGTGCACATCGACTGGCATGCTTCAATAGGTGATCTAACGGGCAATCACTGAAACACGTACGATTCACGCTGCACGTGTCATATGACACAGTGTCATATACGTAGAAGCACGAGACTGGCATGCTGCGACAGGCCATTGAAGGGGAAATCTCATGGCCACATGTGTCACAAGTGCGGCGTGGCACGTTATACGTGTCGGGCACTCACGAGCCAGGAAGATGGCTTTTGCTCTCTTCCACGGGTGCCCACACTTTGTGCCCCATCTCGGCACCCAGAGCACGGAGGCACTGGGGAGTGGCATACATCTATAAGAAATCGGTTAGATGCTGGTGTCGCATGAATAGGCACGTCGCACGTGCTGTATGAATAGATGGGGAATCGAAGAATCACGTGGTATAGGTTGTAGGCCACGCACGCGCGAGCCAGGAAAATTGATTTGGCCGCTACCGACCGTTCTTCACGCTTCGATACAATGCAATGCTACTTAATACAACGGCACTGCGAGCTGCCATGATACAAAAGACTGACAGTTAATGGAAGGGATAAAAATCACCAGCCACACCCGACGGTCATTCGCTCATCCCATGGAATAGGTTTGGCTGTGTTGCAGAGAGCGCGGCGAAATGCGATCTCTCCTGCCGGTGGCCGCCAGAGACCCCCAGCACCGCGCGCGGCCTGCGGCCGAGTCTTTTTCACACTTTATGCGATATCTCGGCAACCAGGGCACCTAGAACCGTGATTCCAACTGCAAAAGATACCTAATGAAATTTTCCAAGTTGTACATCAGCGCAGCGAAGCAAGCGCGCAAGCGCTTGTTTAATTCTAGTTTTGCTGATTTTGGTTTCGCGACACGTTGATATTTGTTGTGGTAGTTAAATTTTCAAAGGTCATTTTGCAAATGCTGTTGCAAAGAAGCATTATCATTTCATTACCCTCCAATATGTTCCCAACCCTTGCTGTGGTGGAGTCTCAAATCCGACGCCGATGTGGTGTCATTTTGTGTGTTGACAATCTGGAAGCAGCACTTATGATTATCACCAGTTAAAAGAGATGACATACCAAATTTAGTGAATGCGCAGGACAAATTTTCCTTGATTCAGTGTGCAGATACATTCTTAAAGTGTTCCTATATCGAATGTTAAAAGCAGGTAAGATTCAAATGAGCCAAATTTTAGAACTGTTTGATGGACACAAAAATTAAACGCACAAAGTTGTTAGCTAGGCAGCGCGAGATACAGTGCGGCCCCAACTTCGACAAACTCAGAAAAATTACGAATGCGGTCATCGAGATCATGTGTTCAGATTTCTTATGTTGAGTCGTTGACCTGCATTATACGAGGAGGTACAATTAAGCAAGTTCATAGGATGAACGTTGGCCATATTGATGGTACTGGCATTCCGAAGCTGGACTTATGACCACTCGTGATGATGTACCCAGCTTGAAACGTAAGTGAGGGGGGGGGGGGGGGAGTGGGAAGTGGTCAATGCCGTTCTACCTACCATCAATATCGTCAATACAGCCCATGTTTGATCTTGAACGCGTTTGGCCAATACCTTCTGGTATACTGAACTTCGACAGTTCAACATAACAACTTTGACTCAAAGCCAAAAAACCAGGCCTGAAAGCCTTTTTTGCTCATGTCGAGATGCATTTTTGAACGGGATGTAATGGAGTTGTAATAACTGTACTCTCTGAAGTATTAGCTACATCGCACTAGAGAACAGCGCCGATCGCCCCAGTTTATTCACAAACCGAGGAAGGTGTGAGGTGTGGTGTGGCTCAGAGCATAGGTGTACGGCGATTTACACCAAAATTGGAGGGCCATGTGGAATGTTACCGAAAATTTTTGCTGAGTTTCACAACTATGTCTCTTCTAGCATATGTCCTATCTATAAAACACGAGAAACACATCGGTAGCATCAATTTTCCCCTCCTCTGATTCCACAGAGAAAAAAAAAACATTCGGTGACTGACGAGGCAGCCTGACATGGTTACGTTACGCTATTTCGGGAGAAGTTAGCCACTGAACAAGCGCTACCCTGATGTAATAATTTTTAACGACGTTTCCGGCTCCAAAGTCGTCAAAGTCAAACATTCCATGAAATGTGGTTCTAGGAAGGAGGTAGATTTGTACTCAATTCATGCTGCTGACTTTTCAGAGCGCAGTTTGTCATCTGGCTATGGCAGCTGAAGTACGCCTCCTCAAAAAACGTAAACTACGTATCAGAGAAGATGCTACACGCGGCTGGAGGCTCCGGGTACAAAGTGGACCTAGGTGAGCGGCTACGAAGCTTCTTATAGCAACCTCGAACAAGCAAGACCACTTAGGACGCATGGCGAGCAAGTCGCCCACAGGAGAATGCGGAATCCAGAATACCCTGAAACGCCAGCGTCACGACAGCAGGGCCAGCGCCACGTACTTTGAGTTGGAGGGGCATGGATTTCCAAAGGGACTCCTGGACAAAATGAGCCTACTTATCGGGGAGGAGGGGGGGGGGGGGGCTCGGCATCATGCTCTATTCAAAGAGAAGGGATCCGAAGTTGCGTGCTTCCTTATCAAATTGTTACATACATCAGTATTCTGGCGAAGAAATATCAACAAGTTAAGATCCAGATTGAGCGCCCTCTGATTAATACAGGTACCTCCTTGACCCGAGGGCCTCCCAATCCGAAAGCAAAGCTTTCTGAGCCAAAAAAGGCTTTCCGATGCATACAGAGACCTCCTGGTTGAGTACAGAACGCTCCCGGTTCAGAAATGAAACAAGAAAATCCAACAAGGGGCCTTGTTATCCTGAAACAGAACATTCTGATTCGGAAATGCAGTTATCCGACGCGGGGTACCAGCGCATCATCCCCTGGGATGTGGGTGCGCCTCCCCCCCTCCCCGTCGGTCTGGTGTTGTGCAGCCCCCTGTACTCAAGGTATAGGGGTTCGACGACGATCGGATGGAAACCTTCCTTGTTTGAGATCTGTAGGGATCATAAGGGACTAACATTAGAGTCAGCACTTATTCCACACCAAGTTTCTCACCAAACGCGAGCCCAACATCATACGTCGCGCTTGCGTTTTGGGGTGCCAAGTTTTACAGCAGCCTGGCCAAGTTTTATATATATATATATATATATATATATATATATATATATATACCAAAACATAAAACGTATCGGGTGATAATCTCATTCAATGCCAGTAAAAACGCCCTCATTGAATGCAAAGCATGGTGCAGTGTTACTGTCTAGTGTTGGAACATGTGACGAGTCACAGCTGCTTTTACCCTGGGTATGGCTAGGAGACGTACCAACAAACCTCTGAGACTCACTTTGAAAGAACGCCTGGGAAGCACGCTGAAGCGAGCATTAAAAAGTCCATATTGTGTCATGGTTACATTACCGTGACGTTGTCAGGCCTAGTTCCGACTAGACTGCGACCCCCCCCCCGCCCCCCTGAGCCAGACAGGGTGGAAAGGGCGATGGATGCGCTTCGCAGCCAGGCTAGTGGCGGGTGTCTTCGCAGCCAGGCCAGGGAGGTGTGTCTGCCCCCTGCGATCCTATTTCGACCGCTCTGGAAACACTCGGCTGGGATGGCATCGCGAATCACTGTGCGCCACTGAGGCTTCCTGCATGTGTACGGGGGACCGCACGTTCGCGAATCCTCCCCCCCCCCCCCGTCCCACCTCCGGCGCAACGCGTGATTAATCATTGATATGCGCTGACTCTTCCAAAACTCGGGCTGTGTCGGGCGGCATCGGCTAACTACATCTGCCACGCGTCCGACTGGTCATCACCCAGTGTCAGTTTCCTTACCGCACCGCCGCCGCATGGAACCGGCTGCCCGCGAAGGACGGCCGCGCCCCCTCGCGCCAAGCGTTCTTGGCTGTTCTAAAGCACTGACTCATTGACTGAAGCTATTTTTGCCTGTGCGTGTATGTGCATCTATCGGTGCTATGTCTCTTTTTCTTTCGCGAATAGGCGGAAGGCTACCTTAACGTGGATGCGCCTTCAATAAAGTAAAATATAGAAATTATACCTTACATTGAATTATATGAAAGTTATTTGATTTTTAAGCGATCATTACTGATAAATTTGTAAAAATTAAGCGAAATGAAATGAACCTAGCTGAACCGAAATGTGAAGAAATAACCCAGGCGCTTGTTTATCGGCGGTCAGGGCTGGAGCGTCTGCTGCGGGATGGCAAGGCTGGATGGCTGATGGCGCCTAGCAACGAGGTGCTGCAACAGTTCGTCGGCAAGATCGCTCTGATGGGCATGGAAACCGTGGACTTCTGGTGAATGGCGCGCTAGAGCGGATTAGTTTCTATGCTGCTTTCATTCGTCTGATTTTGTTTCATGAAAGTGTGCTGATTTGACGGCTTCGTTAGACGCGCTTTTCATACATTTCTGTTATGGTCTTCAGCCATTTCCTGGCACTGATCACAGATAATCTCTTGTTCATCCTACCTGTATGATCCTAGCCCACGTGGAAATTGTCTGACTCCATGGTTTTTTGCCGGCACTGGAGTCTGACACCATACTTTTCCCCCGCACTTTCCCAAGAATGGCAAACACGTGACATAATGCTGCTTGTGATTTGTGGACGACAGCAGAAAAATGAATGCCAATATTGCCTGAGTGATAAGTAGTATGTGTGTGTCACGCTATTAACTTGCGTTTCGCTGCTTCATTTGCTTCTTTCAGTCGGAAGTTTGCTTCTGATTCTGCAATAATCCTGCGAGGTTTAATCTTACTACGGATGCTGCAAACCACGACATAATGCTGTTGCTAGATCCATCTCCTTATCTCCTTACCTCCAGCTGATCCACTGGCGACCCCCAACGATTGCTATCTGACCGACGCTGAACATTTGGCTCTGCTACAACAGGGAGCAGAAAATCAACCACCGCGCGGTGCACCACGAGCTGAAGAAGATGAGCTTGGAGCAGAAGGAGGCGCTCGCCAAGGAGCTGATGGAGGACGTGCAAAACGGCCGCGCCTCGGCTGACAAGGTTGCCAGCATCGACGATGAGGATTTCGAGAACCCTTTCAGCAGTGGGCCGCCCCATTACGTCAACAAGGTCTGTAGGTGACCCTCGCGAACGGTAAGGCCGAAACATCGGTATATTGATGTTTTCAGAATGATGCAAATTTAAAAGAGAAGAGGAGAAAAGGGGGAGGTAGTTCCGTTTGGGTTGCTTTCGCCTGCTCGAGTTTTAGCTACATGATTCCAGTACAGATGCTGAGATTCAACTTTCGTAAGTCAGTCTGGGTCACCATTGTGGCACAGATTTGATGTCCCCAAAAATACTCCCTCAATCCCCCCCCCGATCTTTGCCCTCAAAAATTGATTCGCTTACTTTTGATTTCTAAGCCAGGAGCGCTTGGCTAACACAATGCTATTGTACATTTATATGCATTCACGATTGGTACATGGCAAGGCGACTCGATATAAGAGAGAAAGGAGGCCGTGGCAAGCGATGTTTTCATGGTATCTAACAGTTACACTGACGGTACCAATATTTCGGACCGTGCTCATCTTCAAGCGTCAAGCTTTTGATTTACTTGCCTGCTTCTAGATCCGTTTACATGTCGATTCGACATGCACGAGATTGGATGATGTACACTTGCGAAAGGGGCTGCGCTGATTCGCTCTTCAACACGTCCCAGTTTGTAGTGCGAAGTTGCAACATGGACGATTTCTTCCGTGAAGCAACTAATGGTAAAGTTGTACTTCACATAAGAAAGAGAGGCGTCCAGCTCCTTTTTTTGTCGGCGTTATGAGTTGACAGCTCTTGTGTTGAGTTCACGACCTTCAGTATAGCGGGAGGTACCGATGAAACGACGCTGTTATGCTAATTAACCTTTATTTTGACCTTTATTAACCTTTATTAACCTTTATTCCGTATACCGGTTATATAACATTACGTCATTTAGCCAGTGCTTGCCGGTAAATTCTTCCCGGGCTTTTGATGTAGCCCTGCTGCATTTCCAGACGCTGACTCTGAATGGCCGCGAGTGCACGCCCGGCCTGAACCCGGACAGCTACACCAAGATGACGCTCCAGAAGCGTTCACCCATCGGCAACAACATGGAGCAGTTTGACTTCGCGTACCCCAGCAAGGACAAGCACAGCGGCTGCCTGCCGGGGCAATATGTCAAGGCACGTCTTTCGGGGTCAACGTTGAATGGGCTCTACCATGGAGAAACGTATAGTGTTGTTTTAAGATCATCTGATTAAACTTGTCTCGCGGACTGAGTTGCACGAGGCAAGTTTGTAGATGTCGTATAGAGAAGAAAGCCTCGGAAGATGAAAAAACTATGACGCGCGTTGTGCGAGAGTGCGCGGGCGCGGTTAGGATTTCCGCCCACCCGGCTTCAGCATCTGTGGACATACGCGGACACTTTCCATCTCACCACTATCTTCATCTCACTACCTATCTCACCACCATCACTCAATGCGTGTCCAGGTGCGGATCCAACCCGCCGGCCACCCGGTGCAGGAGCGCTACTTCTCACCCGTGTCTCGACCAGACGAGCCCGACCGGCTGCAGCTGGTCATCAAATTCGAGACGGCTGGCATCTTGTCGCACCATTTCCAGCAGCTCGAGCCGGGTGAGTGAAGACCGTGCACAGCCTCGACGGCAATGCCTGCTGTGGCGAGGACTAATGATAATAGAGGTAATAGTGAGCACGAAATGCGTCAGTTTTTCCAGGCTCTTTTGATGGTAGGTGGTGTTGTAAGAGCAACAGACTACAGAGTGATAAAGCACCTAGTCTTCATTGGCTTTGCGTCAGTACCGACACGTTGGGGCCCCACATTGCTACATTCGATGGTAGCTTCCGCATTCTACTCTGTCGGCAACATTCCTGTATAACAGTCCCATATGTTTGCATGTCACACTGCCCTATGGCGAGGACTGAAAACCCTTTTATCTGCACGCAGGAGATTCGATCGAGGTGATGGGTCCGTGCGGCGGCTTCGAGTACCACGCCAACACCACGGATCACCTGACCCTGATGGCCTCGGGCGCCGGGGATCACGCCCTGTCTGCAGCTGGTGCGCTCCATCATGGCGGACCCGCAGGACCGCACTCAGGTGCACCTGCTCTACCACTCCGAGACCATCGACGATGTCCTGCTCAAGGACGAGCTGGACAAATACCAGGGTCAGTCGCTCACCGCCGTCCCAGGGTCAGATAAAGGCAGCAGAAAAGGTAACCGGCAATGTTCCGCCCTGGCCCAGTAATGATCATTGCGTTAACAGCATTTGTGCATCAGCGTCCAAGTATCGGGCTCATTTCCTTTTTACCTTTTCTTCGTCAATGTGCCGCAAGTAACCACTGGGTCAGTGACGATGATGTCGGAGGATGTCCGGTATCTGTCCGTTGCCCGTTTCTATCGCAGTACAAACAGGCAACTCGTCACAACGGTTGGCAAGCTGCCAGCGCACAGGAATGGACGTCATGCATTGCAGTATGACCAACCTCGTGAACTGCTCACTGATCAGCCGGCATTGCTGTGGCGATGGAAGTCAGGACATAAGTAGTTCTGACTGCACTGAGTACGTTGGTGGGAAATACTGTCGACGGAAACGAAAGGTGTCATGGAGGAATATAGGCGATTGTTTGCACTTGCAGTTTTCAGCGAGTTTACCCGTAGATCAATTGCTTAAAGTGATAAGGCTGAACAGTCTAGACAGCGTCAGATTATATTCATTATACTTGGCAGTAACACTATAACGTTTTGGGTTGGGTTTCTTTTACATCTTGCCATTACATGAGAAGTGCGATGTTGTGTTAGTGCCGTAGCGGCAATGCTCAACTTTTATGTAAAAATAGTTAACTTTTGCTGTCTAGCACATCTTAATACTTTCGTGTGCTGTGCTGAGACAAACTTATATACCCTTTGAGCCTCTAAGTGGGATGTGTAACCCTCTTGCGTAACCTTTCTCTCTTCACCAGACACTGACCATCGGCTGAAAATCCTGTACAGCCTGGGCGAGGCGCCAGAGAACTGGGACGGCGAGGAAGGCTTCATCGATACCGACATGATCCAGCGCGCCGTACCAAAACCCAATGGGGGCCGCTGCAAGGTAACACTGCGCCGAGCCCAAACTAAGTGGGCGCTGTTTTGGGAACGATTTGGCTGGAACTAGAGTCCTCTCGGCTAGCGACGACCTTTGCGGTGGCATGGGACGGATGGGAGTAGAGAGTGGTGGCGCAAGATTTAATGCACCTGGCAATCTTCCACTAACTAGATTTATCCTCGCAGTGACACCTCTCCGGGGTTTGTACCGGCGCTCGACCGTTGTTCGGAGGGCGTTACAGGCGTTGGTTCATCGCTGCTGCATGGTGCATTCCCGGACAAACGCGTCTTTGCGGAAATGCAAGATGAAGCGGGAATGAGAAAAGAAGGGTTGATGGTGATGCTGAAAAGTTGGCATCACACTAGGCCCTGAACGAAGCGTACTTCGTTGCACAGCCTGGTACTTTGTTTAGTGTGCTGAGTTGGCGATCAAATAATTTCGGGAGACGGGTTGACATGAAAAGCATCTTACGTGCTGCGGACGCCATTCAGACAACCACAAGTGTGCGTACGTTTGTGGACGGGGAAGCTTGCGATAATGTGTCTGTATGCCGCTGTGTAGTCTCAGAGCGTGTCTCCGCTGTCTCGCCAGATGGTGCTGTGTGGCGGTCCGACCATGATCATCTCCACTCTGAGCTCGCTGCGACAGCTGCACTACCCGGCCCGCGACATCTTCGTCTACGGCCAGTTCGGCGCCGAGCACGTCCGCATGGTCTTCGGCCGCAACGTCCAGCTGTCCGGCCACTCATCCAGCTGCGTCGTCTGAGGTCACGCGTGCACTATCTGAGGTCACGCGTGTACTATCTGGGGTCACGTGTGTACCGTGTGAAGTTACGCGTGTACGATCTGAGGCCACGCGTGCACTATCTGAGGTCACATGTGCGCTGTCTTAGGTCACGCGTGTATCGTCTGAGGTCACGCGTGCGCCGTCTGATGTCACGCGTGCACTATCTGAGATAATGCGTGCGCCGTCTGAGGTCACGCTTGTACCGTCTGGGGCCACGCGTGCGCCATCTGGGGCCACGCGTGCGCCATCTGGGGCCACGCGTGCGCCATCTGGGGCCACGCGTGCACCATCTGAGGTCACGTGTGCGCCGTTTGAGGTCACGCGAGAACCACCATCACATGTAGACCGTCTGCTCATGTGTTGACCGCCCAAGGTCACATTTGTGCCCCCTGAGGTCATCTGCACCGCCTGAGATCACGTGATGTATGAGGTCCCACACGCACGGGCTAAGGTCATACGTGTACCGTCGTCACATGTGAATCGTCTGCGGTCACACACAGACTGTATTACGTCACGCATGTACCATGCGAGATCGAACGTGTTAACGTAAACAGAAATGCATGCAGACTTTGTTATGAAATCCCACGATTTGCTATGGACAATACAACTGCTAATCGGAGCATAAAACATAAATGTGTCGTCAATATCACGGAATATTATCTCCCGCAGCCCTCAGCAGCGAATGAGGCGTAATCATACATAATCGGTTTGGGTCATGAAGAGCAGTAGCGTCAGCTCGGTTCGGGCCCTACACGGGACAGATGTCGCCTCAAGTGGCGGACAAACAGCGGCGCAAACACCCACAGCGGCCCTGCTCGGCAGCGGGTTGTCCGCTACCGATCTCGGTGTGGGACCAGGGTACACGCGGGTGATGGTCTCGGCTGGTGAGCCGGTCTCGGATCTCCGCATGCGTGGGGAGACCTGTAGTTCTTGTAGTTCTCTGTAGTTCTCTCTTGTAGTTCGCTGTTACGGTCCACCTTGAGCGTGGGCCACGAGGTTTGATGCATGGCCAGATTTTTGTGTGTCGCGCTAGAGAAATCCCATCGCCAGATTCGATGCATGGTCGAATTGTGCGGGCGAAATTCGCCCTCCCTGAGAAGTTGACTCGATATCTTTTTCGAACCGTTGCAATATTCCAAGAAAGAATAAAGCATGTGCAAGAAGACCGGGAATTGACCAGCGCCGCGTCGACGGCGAGTGTGAGATGCTCCCTGAGATGCGACAGACCACTCTGACACCCCAAAGCACCTCCTATTACCGACGAAACGTACGAGGCCGGACTAAGGAAGCGTTTGAAATTAAGCCATAGATTTCTGGCTGGCGGAAGTGTAAATAAAAAAGACAGCGAAATTTCACTTTCATGTTTTATATAAAACCTTTGGTTAGTTATTTTTCGTACCTTCAGTATACCAAGAGGCGCTGGTGAAACGACGCTGCGGTGCTAAATGGCGTTATTGGGCTGTCGAAGTGGTGTTGAATGCCGTCATACATCGTTGAAGCATAACTTGGCCCTCTCGCGTGACGCTCGTGGGATGGATGATAATTACTTAAGGTTAATCAAAATGCATCTTCATTTCCTCATTGTTTCAGATACCTGGTTGGGTCCAAGGTCACGGCCGCAGTTCCGAAGGAGTGAGCTGATCGCGCCCGGTCACCCCTATACAGGCCGGTCGGCTCATGATGCGCCGCCACGCGTAATCCGCCGAGACTGGACGTGCAGCCGATCTAGAAATGATCTCAGTTATTTTTTTCTAGTCAGAGCGGAAATCAGTTGTCTTAAATTGCATATCAGTCGAAAGAAACCCACGTCTTTAAGCTGACCGTTAGTCATCGGTTATAGGTGCGTGGTTTTTAGAAAATGGGGTCGAAGATCGGACAAAGTCACTATAAGCACCGAGTGGACTCTAAAAGTAAGATTAACCCAAATTTCAGAAAAAATAGGAATTTAGCTTCCAATACAATCTTCTCACATATTATGATCTACAAACTGTTTTGCTAGATCATGTGAAAAATATGATTCGTTAATTAATCGCCCGTTTCCATTGCTTCTAGCTGCTTATCGGATATAAGCACTGAATTGGGGGGTGAAAAACGCTTAGGGGTCACACGACCACTGGGATAAATGAAGTGAATCGCTTGCAACCCAGACGGAAATCGGTTGTCCACCGGTCGCCCAAGCTGGCCTATACACCAAGCTGTCGGCATACGTCGTCTGGCTGCTGCACCGCCCCCAGCTGGACTAGGAAGAGGACACGGCCCCGAGCAGGGCTGTGACCTCGGAGCCACACGCCACCGACTGGCCTCAGGGCGACCCGGGCCGGCCTTCCTTCAGCCCGAACAGCACGGCCGGCTTCTGCCTCCCGCTGCGGGACTGTCTCGACCTACTGCCGGCCGGCGGGCTTATTATTTTCACAATGAGCTTTTTCAACTTTCTTCCAATCACCAAGGCAAATAAGTCAGTCTGGGTGTTGACCTGTTTGAACACCTCATTGATTAACAACGAAAGCGCAGGGAAGAATAGCAGCAAGTAACTCACAGGGCATATTCTAGCGTGTTAACTGGGAGCATCTGCCTCGCACAGTCAGCGCGTGGGTCTGTCAAGGATGCTTGCCTAGTTTCTACGACCACCCGTCGCAGAACACGATTTACACTTGAAGCATCTACATGAAAACGTTGAATGTAGAAAGACTAGACTTAAAGAGACTGTTTCGCATTTAAAAATATTAAAGCCAGCGTCAGATGTGATGATACAAGTTCACTTGTAACTAATGGTATGCTTTCTAGGTGGAACGAGTGCTCTAGACAGCATAAATCACTGTTTAATAAATACGCTTCTCAATACGGCATGGTTTGATTTCGTCATCATACTCGCCCAGCATTTATTTAGAGCCCATTAATGGCCATTATATCTGGAAATCGCGCACACGAACGCGAGATATAAGCGCCTCGACAATCATATTTGTATTGGCCTTGATCGCTGCATGGCTTGTGGAGTGGCTGGACTTGAATTACGCTATCATGACGTCATGAATGCCAAAGTGAATTTAACTCCCCGATGTATATACGTCCCCATTTTCGCGGGCGTGTAGCTCAGAAATTATAAGGGCTCAGGTTTTAATAATGTCATGATTGTGAACAGCACCAAAGGTCTTCAGGGTAGATATTTCGGCTCAAAACCCCATATAAACGTGGACCACTCGCTCTGATAATAATGACAATGGGGAAAATGTGCTAAAAACAATCCGAGGTAGAACCAAAGTTCGGACTCTCACGCATGTTGCCATCACGCCTCTAGCCTTGTTTTACGCAAGTGGGGACTGTCGTGTTTTGGGCTGTTTTGGCACGCCCCCATGAGGCGGACTGCTGGGCTAGCTTGTGGCCCGACGGGTGACCGGTTTCCGTTGGTCACCGGACCTGCTACGCCGGGTCGGCGGGACAACGGGGCTGTGATGTGCTCAATACAGGTGTGTAATGGGGGGACTGAGGAATGCAACGTGACGTAACGTACCCCAAAGTACCTCGCCAAACGGGCCCATCAGAAGAACAGAAAAAAATGTTTGCGTGGCGTAGCAAGTGCGCTGCAAAGCATTTGCCATCACCACCAAAGCATTTGCCATCACCACCACTGGTTTTGTCGCTACCAGACTTGTGTTCGACTCGAGCTGAATCATAAATAGGCTTATGAGTCGGTTGTTTCGGGTCAGTAGCGGGGTGAGTGCTTTCACTAGGAAAACTGTAGCTTTGAGTCATAAACTGAATCAAATTCTTCGCAAATTTCATGCACTGAGTGGTGAGCTGATCATCTATAACAATGTCTTGTCAATGGCTCAAATGTGGTTCAATTTTGGATCAAATTTGGCTAAAAAAACAGAAATATGAAGAAACACAGCACGCCCCGGACAAATTAACAGACCATTTCAGAGCGTTGAAAAGAAGAACAAGCAGCTTACCAGAGATCCGTTAAGTCGCAGCATCTTAAGTGGAAACAAATTGGCGAGCTTTACGTACTACTTGTCAAATATGTCACAAAGGCCATAAGAGGTGTCTCTCCCGCAAAAAAACAAGTAGCAGAATGAACTTACTCCTTTGGGATATTCATCGTCCGAGCCCTTTCCCCGCCCGTAGTCGAAAGCCACTGCCCTAGACCTGCTGTCCCCAGCATGACAGCAAACTGATCGTGTGACTGATTTGCTGCGGGTTCATTAATCAGCAGCACTTTTTATTGATGTGCAGTGATGCAAATGGCACACCTCCTTAAGTACCCACACGTCACAGCAGTAACTGAACTTTCGGGGAACTGTCTCCCTTAGACAGGAATTCGTCCCATGGGATTTAATTGGCCCCTTCTTTAACAAAGGTGACGTGATTTGCCTTCGTATGTAAGAAAAAAACACACCTTTATCTTCAAAAAGTTTCGACCGACTAGGAGACTTGTCCGGCATAGACGTTTAGCGTGACACAATGATTTACAAAAGAATTTGACGCTTTATATGTTACCGGCTTTCTATGCAGCCCTAAAAAGTTATAAGCAAGTCGTCATCAGAAATGCCAACAAGACTGTGGACACTTTCTGTGAGTACAAGAATTAGCACACTTGTCTAACGAGCATATATATATATATATATATATATATATATATATATATATATATATATAAACCGTGCACAAACCGCTTTGGATCGTATTTTCATGTTTGATACTCTGCTAAATGACCCTGCTCTGAAACTCAGTGCTGCTCAGTGATATTTTACCTCATAGGAAAGGGCTGAATGCACTTTCTTCTCAGGCACCGACGATGTAGTTCTAAGTCGTTGCAATTCTGCGATTCGGTGGTCGATCGTTTGGTTGCATGTCACCCACACATTCATATATATGTCGGCCCCGGCAGTCGTGCCCGAGTGGTTCAGACTTCCCACTCCAGCATGTGGCAGGCGCCGCGGGCTGGCCTGCTCAGGCAGCTGATTGGCCTGCCTGGTGCCAGTTGACTAGGGGCAAAAGGATCTCCTCAGTTGTAGAGTACGATCGTGTCAATGCATTTGATGACGCGTAAAAGGTTGCAAAAAAGCTAAAAGGTTAAAACGTTGCCTGGAAGGTTGCAGGCACAACTGTGTCACGAAACGCGTGAAACTGCGGTCTTAAACAGTTCTATCTAATCTACCCAAGCCGTTATGATTAACCTAAAAGGACTAATGCAACAATGCTAATGTTTTTTACAAACACTGACGTAAATTAAGTCTCAGCACAAGTACCACTTAAAAATGGAGGGCGGCAAGTTTTTGCTTCAAAGCAATGCTAGTGTAATATTTACAAACTACTCTGCTTGTCTCAGTCTGTTATCACAGGGCGCCGCATCGTGGCATCTAGGCAAACGCACCGCACGCGCTGCGTGACGCGTATGGTTCTTGGCACTGCACGTTCGCTTCTGCATGACGACCGCACCCGGCGAACCCATGTGCCTGAAGCCAGAACCGTTCAGAAATGCCTCCCACAAACTCAAGGCTTTTATTGTCGTTTGCAGCGTGGTTGCCGGGACACACTAGAACGATCCAGCACCCTATTAAAAACTTAAGCTTAATAAATTATGCATTTGAAATGGTCGAGTATGATTGTGCCGATACATGGGGAGTTAATGTAGTTTATTGCCGACGCATGAATAATAAGTGTAGTTCATTGTACCCAATGGGGCGAAATCAGAAGTGGCAATACTGGCTCGGTTAATGCTGAATCAATACTCAGCTGAGTCGTACCTTTCTTGAAACGTCCCACTGTTCTTCTAGTGTTTCATAAAACCCCTAAAAATGGTACACCGATCAGGCAAATACAAGCAATGCTGTCTACGAAAAATGCCCGTGAACTCGTGGCATTTCAAATGATGCCTAAAATGTTGAACAAGTTAACACAATGTAGGCAATTTGGCAGAGGTCACAAGAAACATCGGCATTACACAAAACCTTGTTTTTTGTTTTTGCCTGACTTGCCAAACTACACCAACCGCCCATGACATGTCCATCTTGCACTCCATGAACTTACGCGCTGAGTGCAGAGGCAGCGTCACAGGAGGACGGAGACGCGTCTCCCCTGTCGTCGGATAGGAGACAATCCCTCCGTCCCAACAACTTTCTTGCAGGACAAATATTTACACGCTTTTACGCTCAGGGGCTTAGAACATGGTACAAATCTCGAAGCAAGCAATCATGGTCAATACGTTCGAACAGTCCAGTACGGATACGTACAACCTTGACACGACACTAGCAAAACTAAGGCTGCGCGGAGAGGTGAGGACTCAAAGCGCAGCTGAAAGCTACGAAAGAAAAGGACTGTCTGACAAACTGGCGCAGATAAAACGATCGGAGCATCTCATTTAGCCAGTCTTTTTGTTGTTGCCGGGGCAGGCGAATAACGCATCTCAAGTAGCCAAGTATTGTTTCATCTCATCACTCGGTAGGATACATAGAGACAAAGGCTTGCGCTTAGGGTATTTATACTCGGCAATTTTTTTGGACAACTTATGCGGAAAAACATGTCAGCATTATGATTGGGCAATAAGGAAATATGTTTTATCACACGCATTGTACGACATTACTACAGCTCTCAACAAGGCGAACCTGAATCGCCCATGAAAGTCACACTAGGTAGCTTAAACGGGTTGTGCGTTGTGAACGGGGCTCTTGTCTCAAAGATTTTGTCAACATCTCGGATGCCAGAAAGGCAAATACTTTTTATTCTCCCTCACGGGATTAGCTGGCTATACTTGCATTACTACAAAGAAACACCGTACTAAAACCAAAATCACATGCTCACGAAGCGCACGAAAGACAAGTCCAAGTCCAAGCAGCGCACGGCCAAACCGTGAAAACCTCAAATGCTGCTTGACAACACTTGTCACTAACCAAAATACAGCAGTGGCCGCTGGCCACCCGACTCACCCGATTCGTGTCGGCGTGCTAGAACTAAGCTGATTTGCACATTTGATAGGTCATGCCAATCATTCGAAAACGTATCTGTATGACCTGAGAGGGACACCGTTGCTTAAAAGCTGAGTCAAATGTTCGCATAGCGCACGCTTGAGTTACTTGCTACAACGTCCAGTGGTCGGCGGATAACGCCGCAAGCCGCGGTGACACGGAAGTACCGGCGTTGCCAAAATAAAATCATGGAAAAGCTGGAGTTGGGAATAAGAAAAATTTCAATAAAGAAAAATGAAAAGGATGCAAAGATATTCAATTATAAGATGTAATAATAATGATAAATGACAATGTATAATGAGGCCAAATAGCATTACATCAATGATGGTACGAGCGCAAGATCACAAGCAAATACTTCCCAGCTCCGTTTCAGTAGATGGCCCAGGTGTATTTGGAAAAAGGTGCATGTACTCTGTCTAGATATGAGTATGTTGGGATTAAGGAGCATCTAATACCATATCCTGTTGAAAATAATTCGCCTAACGCAAACAATACGGGCAGGGATGGCTACAGGGATGGGAAATTGCATGAATGTAAAGCCAATGACCCTCCGGTAGGCTCTCTAGAAGGCTCATGCCGTAAAACTCGTTTGGACATGCACGATATGCGCGACATAAAACATGCTGAGTGAAACGAGTGAACTCATTTCACCCACCCACGAGTGAGCGTGAGTAAACGAGTGAGTGAGCAGCCTCAAGTGAGTTAGTCATGAGGGAGTGAGTGCTGTGGCGAGTGAGTAACGCGTGAGCGAGTATTGCAGCGAACCGAACCTAACGAACGTTGTAACGAGCTGAAGGCCTGAAAGCCAAGTCGTGGATGGATTTCGAGCAAACAAACAAAAATACATATAAGGAATGCGCACACCCTTTAAGCACCGCCATAGAAAGAGTTGAACTAAATGTTTCCTGATAAAACTTACAGCACAAGCTACGCGGAGTTTCATCCGGTGCTTTGATGGGTGTGTTTGTGGCCAGATGTATTGGCACGCTTTTACACTAGACACGTTCACGGCATGTTTGAGGTCTATACTTAAGACGACATATTAAGAATTTTCCTATGGCCCTGTTTAAAGTTATTTTTATGGTCTAATTCCGAAGTGTTCCTAGTTTTATTCAGCACAGGGTGACCTCTGCTTTGCAAACATCAATTGCACGACAGTGAAACTACATCTGATGGCTTGCCGCAGGGTTATTACAAATCGCGGCATGTAGATCAGATGGAAGTCCATTCCATCGACAAGAGTTTATAGGTCATGAACCGTCAAGACCAGACTTTAAAGCTTAGCAACATGAGTAGAGAAAATGTCAATATAGTTACCACAGGCTTCAGCACCATGCCCTAAAACTGTTCAAACGTTCTGCGTGAGGACTTTAAGGGGCTTCTGGGAACCCTTACATGATGATGATCAGGGCCGCGTATGACTGGTACTTTGTCGGTTTAATTTACGCAGGCTTAGGTGGCCTGGGTAGCCGCGGGTCTAGTTTTCATTTCGGCGAACTTGAGAGAGTAGTAATACCCCATCCAGGTTCTCCAGATGACAGCACGTGCGTAGGGCACCGTTGCTGTTCTTTTTAAGTACGGGCCGTTCAGGTTTGAGGAATGGCAGGATGTATACCACCAGGCACCTCGATATGACAATGTACATCTGCCGGAAGAAGCATCGTTGTCGTTGTCTTTGGTACTGAATTGAGCTCCGCTATGGCCAGTCAAGGAATCGCCAGCGTCTCCTCGGTAGCCCGACAGCTGGAGCCGGTACTGGTCCGTCTCGTTCGAGAGGCTGAACGAGCCGTATTGAGCGAAGCGGCGCCGTCCCTCGAAGTCTTCCAGGTCGACGCGTAGCTCCTGCGGCTGGCGAGCGGTGAGCCTGTGGAGCAGCTCGTTGCCGAGCCAGAACTGGCCGGAGACATTGCCGAAGCCGTCGCGGTAGCTCTGCCAGTCGCGGTAGAAGTCTAGCTGCTCTGCGTCGTCCTCGCGCCGCTGGAACACGGTCCAGCCGCCGCCGGCCGTCTCCATGTCGCAGTACACCTGCACAGGCGGCTCGCCCGGCGCCAGCAGCATCTCGTACTGCCCGCTGGCGTGGGCACCGAGCGGCGTCACTTCGGCGCAGTCGTGGATGACGCAACGACCGTCGGCCGTCAGCAGGGCTAACGGGCAGGTGCAGACGCCGGCCTCGCACTTGGTGCCCGGGTCCACCTGGCCACACTCGGCGGAGCTGAGGCAGCGCTCGCCCAGCTCGGCGCGACCGTTGCGCACGAAGGCCGCTGTCGCCGTGGTGTTGGCCGTGCTGTTACCGCGGCGAGAGGCCAGCCGGCAGGAGAGCTCGCTGCCTTCCTCGGTCACCTCGGCGGCGGCGCAGGCGCGGTCGACCAGACACAGGTGGCGGCAGTGGCAGGCCGACCAGGCCTGCCGGCTGGCGTACACGGCATCGGCCGGCGGCGACCAGGCGACCTGGGTCGCTCGCCAGAACTGCCGCCTGCTCTCCCAGCTGGTGGTGGCCGGCATTGTGGAGCGAGCCGAGGCAGCCGATGCACAGGCCAGCAGCAGCCCCAGCACGGCTGAGCTGGTCTTCAGACGGCCTCCTGCAACGAGGACATGGCGTAGACCGGGCTGGGGAAGACTCATGAGGTAGTGGGGGTCCAGGCAGGTGCCCAAGCATGGGCATTCACTTTATTTGGGTATCCGTAACTCTATCGCGTGCAACGACACTTCGGGGACGATGCCGTTATCTTTCATGCACAAACACCGGGGGGGGGGGGGGGGGGGGCGGCTATCAGTTTCTTCGTATAGACCCGCTCCACTCAACGCAAGGCATCGCGCCACACTTCAACAACAGTATGTAAACGCTTACGGGATGCAGCCGAAAAGTACCCAGTCCGCATTAAAGCAGAAGTCTTCTCAGGATAGGTGGTTTTCATGTTCTCGCTTGATGGCACCTCCACAAAGCGGACTGGGCTATATTCCGAAACTAAATAGCTCAGAGTCAGCCCCCCCCCTCCCTTCTGAAAACATCTCTAATCTTATTGCGTTTCTGAAAAAAAACATGACTCCAGCCGTCTGAAGTCGACTTTCTGGGACAGCACGGGAGGGGCCCACAGCTGCCAGTGGCACCGACGCGGCCGGGCCGACCGGCAGGGGGCTGGGCGGTGCATGGGGGTCGGGGGTGCCGTGCCACGTCGGTCCGCTGGGTAATTGCATAGTCGGCACTGGGTTCAACGACGCTAGCGATACATCAAATCGCGTACCGACAGGAATGCTACGACATTGCTTTTACTGCCAATACTTAAACACGTCATAAGTGCTACGCGACAAATCTCATTCCGCAAAAGCTTATGCGCTCATTACTTCTACCTCAAATGCATCTGCAGCCATTATTTACACACGGCATTGCTTCTACTGCAACAACTTAGGCGCGACATTAGTGCTACACAACAAAACCTATGCTTCAAAAATTCGCACCCGTCATGACGTTTACTCCAAAAACTTATGGAGTCATTGCTTATACACGGCATTAATTCTACTACAAAGACTTGCACGTGACATTAGTGCTGCAGTAAAAAATCGTGGTCAAGTTTTTACTGTAAAAGTAATGACTGGTACATGTTTTGCAGTACAAGTTTTGGCTGTATAATACTTTTGTCGTGTACGAGTTTTTGCAGAAGTAATGTCGCGCATAAGTGAAGACCGTATAAGCCTTTGCTGTATAAGTAGTGACGAGCATAAATTTTTGCGGCACAAGCTTTATCGTGTCGCAAGTTAGAGGTAATGTCGTGCATAAGTAAATATTGTAGAAGTTTTACAGTACATGCAAGGACGTGCTTAAGTTTTGGGGTATACATTTGGTCATGTAGCATTCATGTCATGTATAAGTCTTTGCAGCCGAAGTAATGTCGCGTACAAGTTAAGTTCGCGTACTTCTTTGCAATAGAAGAATTGCCGCGTATAAATGATGTCGCAACACTCCTATCGTTAGGTGTTTTTTGCCATAGCATTGATGTGAAGCCTCCGCACGGCGCGTGTGTATAGCGATTCCCACTTTTCTGATCGTAATTTCATATGTTAAATGGCACGGCAGTTCCAGAAATCGAGATTTCTGTCGAATTAAAGGTGCCATGAATTCGGGAAATTGCGTTTTAACATCCGAAAATCGCAGCACTGCAATAATGATGCCAATAAATTAACTTGTCTGTCTTACCAGTTAGGGCTATGTATTGTTTACATTATGTCATTTCAATGGTAAAAAAATATGCTGTGGTGCGGGGATATCGTCGTTTTACTTGTCGTTGTTCCGTCATCGTGCTCTTTCTGACGTCACCATCAATGCAAAATCGATTAGTGCAGAAGTCTAGAACTTAAGAATAGTGATCGGAGCATAATACACACCGGGAGGTCAAATTTTCATCTGATAGGCTGGCATGTAAAATTGCACCTTTAGTGGTTGAGTTGACGTGGAATGACCCGCTAGCCTACTGTAGACCCACACATGGCTCGTCTCAGTGGGTGAAAACGGTGGCGGTCAGCAATGACAGATAACAACGCACCCTTTACATTAAAGATAAGGGTAGGACTAAATAATGAAATTCGACGGATACATGTCACGAAGACCTTGATCTAAGATAAGCAGTGCGAGGAGCATAAAAATGTCATATTTAACGCGTAAGGTATACGGCATAGCCAAGACAGCCCCCTGCATGCTTACTACACAGGTGAGGTGAATGTTTTCAGCGAGCCTCGCTGATCATTTCGATTTACCTTCATACACGTGTTACCCATAGTAATTCCGTGTGCTATCGCGATACGTAAAAATTCGTACAAACGTGAGGCAGTTATACTCTTTCCACTATCAACAAAAAAACAAAACAGCCCTGAAAAAATGGAGGCCTTGATGAGGGACGAAGAGTTCCAACATGCATAAGACCTGTATATGCTCGAACCACTTCGAGAATAAAACTTAGGACCAACAATATTTTGCCAAGTCATCCTCGGTGCCTGCTCGCAGGCTGTGATTGCAAGACGGTGCATTTCGTCAAGAAATTTGACGATGTCTGGTTCCTAAATGTAAGTGTATTTCATCTGAGACCTGGAGGCAGTGGCCAGTATTAACCGAACTGAATTTGGGGGCCATTCCCAGTGTTTGTGGAAGAATCCACCGGAACCAGGATCCCGTGTGTCGTTTCCATGAAGGGAAGTGGGAGCCAGAAGCCAGCTCGGGGAACCAGGCGCTTATCTCCTGAAGACTTTGGTCACATGGAGGCTGATAGACATCGGGAGCGTGAAGCCCATTGGCACCACGAAACACTTGAATTTGTTGTCGGCTTTGTTTCATGCCGTTGCCATCACCTGGCCCCTGGACTAGGAGTTCCAACGAGGAAGACTCCACCCAGCTCGGTGCCACCCAGCTGCCCTCGGAACAGCAGCCAAGATGGGCTCCTAGCGCCCTTTCAGCATTGGATGAACGTTGTCGAGGTTTTGACATTATCTTAAACCTGTTTTGCAGGTTGTGTTGCAGACCGATAGCCAAGCATAGATCGACTCTCAATAGACCTATGCGTAAGGAAGGAAACCAGTATAGACAGGCGAGCTGTCCTGAAGCTGGCGAGCGCTACGCTGCATCTCCGGCTCAGGCGACGTAGAATGGAGATGTGGTTAGGCTGATATTTCGGCAACATGCCTTTATCAAAACAATAGCAGAAGTGAACATAACTGCCATGATTCATTTCTGCCATTGTTTCGATAAAGGCATATTGTCCAAAATATCAACCTAACCATATCTCCATTCTTCTGGTTTTTCCAAGGAATAAGGCTAATATCGCGGTCTTATCTATGCAGACCAATTTGTCATGCAAAACTGGCAATTTCAAAATTGTGGAACGCGATTTGGCTGTCCATTTTGGAACGCGATTGACTTCCTGATATCGCCATCTCAAGTGGGGTGACCCAACCTGCTACGAAAGCAAGGCAGTTTCGAGAAGTATGGTTCTTTTTTATCCAAACAATACGTGTGGCGTACTTCTAAAGACCAATCATGCGGCCTAGTTTGCTCTGCTTCTTACGCGGTAAACGTTGATAGTGTCATCATTATTCAAATTTATACATATTCATCCCGTACAGGGTGCAAAAAATGTGCCACAATGTACGCCTTTAGAATGGAATGACGATAAGGATTTTATTCAATTGTATCGAGCTGTAATATTGTTGACTTTTTTTCTTGGTTTTAATGTCACGTCAGTACAAAGGCCACGATTCCTCAAAGGAGACTCTGTTTTCCGTCAGAAACTTGTTTAAATGAACTTCTCATGGAAGGAAAGTAATTGCAGTTTTTAACAAATGTCCAGATAAAGTATGAGATGGTGCAATTAACCAATGATTTGAAATGTTTACGAGCGCATATGCAAGTTTACTTATCCTTTACATGTTTTTTTTTTTGTAAAACGACTTCGAAGGGGAAAAGGTAGCCCTTTAAAACACACCTACTGTGGATCAACGTAGTTTATAAATATGATTACAGTATGTGTGGGCCTATTTGAACGGAAACTCTGCCCCTGTACATAGGGTTTCGAGGTGAGGTGGCTTAGTTGTATGGGCAAACGAGGTCCACACCAATGTCTTTTCATGTCCTCATCCGTGGAAGTTCACCACACTGAAACACAGGGTGCTATGCTCATAACCCCAGCCCGGACGGGTTGGGGAATGAGGGCTGGGTGAGCGGCGACTCCCACGGATCGCATGGCACCAGCCCGTGAGCGTCGCTTGACAGCCAGCGGTCCGTTTCCGTGCACGTGGTAGGGGTCCGCCGCCGTCGCTGCCCGCGGCACCACTTATTACTTCCAGCGCCAGTGCTGCGACGCCGGCGCCACGTAACCGCCATTCCGCTACTGCGACGCCAAGCTCGTGACGCAGGCGAACTGGAGCAGCGTCCGTCACAAGCGCGTGCATGCGGCCGGCTTGCCGCCAATCGGTGGGCGTTCAGAACAGCCAGCCGTTTCGGTTAGCGCACGGTATGAAAAGCTGCTGGTCCGGTTGGTTGCATTACTTTCTACCGTTAGCATTATCAGTCGAATATGGGATCGTCCTGAGCGCAAAATTTCAGTGTTTCTTTCCGTGGACACTAGAGCTCTGTAGTAACTCAGCGTCATGACTCGTTCTATCACTTTCTTCTGTCCCTTTCGTCATGCTAACGCTAACTGGTGTTGAGTTGTGTATATTACATTGTTTTCGCTATGCCCGTGTTTATGATGCGTTCGGTACGTGTTCGCATGCATGTCCAAAATGATTGATTTGTCTTAGTTCTGAAGGATAATTGAGAACGCGATAGTTTAAATATTCAAAAGTGTTTGAAACCGTGTCGTGACCTGAGAACATCGAGATTATCGCGTTGCAACTTCGATGTGTTTGCAGATGCCAGGCGATCGAAATACAGCATTTTGGTTAACCTGGTTTTTTTCCTGTTCAGTCACGATTATGAGAAAACCACAGTCGAACGATCATCAACTTAATAATCAGGT